TGTGTGGCCTGCCCTGTCTCCTGTCTCTAGGAATAGTGAGTACATTTGTTATCCTGAACCTCTCCTCTGCCTCTTTTGGCTCCATCTCATTAACTACCTCATAACAGAATACAAAACAGGATGGAAGTAACGGTTTCATGCAATTGTGAGGATTAAATGAAGGAATATATGTAAAGTTCTTACAATAGCATCTGGTACCAGGCATGCCCTCAAATGTGAACTGTTAGCCCCAGTGATGGGAGTACAGCTCTTTATATTCCACAGCATGAAGCCTCTGCTTTCGAGGACCACGTGGGGTTTCGATGGTCACTGTGGGGGGTTCAGGCCAGGCTGGCTACAGAGAGAAACACTTGGAATGCTTTTGGCCATGTATTAGTGTCATCTAATTAGATAACCAGGTGACAAAAATGCAACTTGTACATCTTAGAAACTGGGCACTTTTCTCATTTTATTTTCAGAAAGACACACTGATGAATAATTATTGTCAACATTTTTTTAAGGATAGTGATGTGGCTGAGGCAGGTGGATCACGAGGTCAGGAGTTCAAGACCAGCCTGACCAACATGGTGAAACCCCGTCTCTACTAAAAATACAAAAATTAGCCGGGCGTGGTAGTAGGTGCCTGTAATCCCAGCTACTTGGGAGAATCGCTTGAACCCAGGAGGCAGAGGTTGCAGTGAGCCAAGATTGCGCCACTGCACTGCAGCCTGGGCCACAGAGTGAGACTCCATCAAAAAAAAAGAAAGAAAGAAAGAAAAGAAGGAAGGAAGGAAGGAAGGAAGGAGAGAAGGAAAGAAGGAAGGAAGGAAAAAGAAAGAGAAAGCGAGAGAGAAAGTGAGAGAGAGAACGAGAGAGAAAGAAAGAGAAAGAAAGGAAGGAAGAGAAAGAGAGAGAGAGTGGCATGTGGTACACAGGGTGGCAGATGGAACACAGGGAGTATGAGTGCCACCCAGTGCTGGCACCTGCAGAGGATGACCATCAGCACCGCCAAGAGGTCCTTGAGTGATCACAAACAACCAAGCTTGCATTCTTTTCCCTTCACAAACTGTTATAAAAATATTTAAATTGCCAAAGATATAATTAGCAGGAGTTGAGGTGCGCCAAGAAGCAGGGAGCCCTCCAACTGCAGGACAGAGGAGGGAGATGGATGTCTCCATACTGTGCTGCTGACTAAGCCAGTGCTATAGGGGAGGGTGGGGCAAAGCGCAAAGGAACAGGAAGGAAAGGAGAGGAATCAAATAGGGGGAGGCTATGGCGTTCTTGGATTAAGTTTGAATTAAATTGTTTTCTCCGCCAAAATCATTCAGTTTAAAGCAATTTTGTTCCAAGACTGAGACTCGGGCACAGTAACCTGGAAGGCTGAGTCTGCTGCAGGGACAAAGTGCTGTTCTAGAAGCAGTTAGTGAATATGGAGGAAGGTAACGTCTTAGAGAGGCCACTGTCAAAACTGGGCAAACAGGCAGGCAGGGAGAAAGAACCCAGATGACAAATCAGTCAGCTGGAGATGAGGGGCACCCAGCAGGAGATGGGCAGAGGAATCTGAAAGGGGAAATCTGAAGCAATTTTTTTTTTCTATAACGAGGAGGCAGTTTCAGTGGCTGTTCCCAGAAGCCCATAGAAATGAAGAACCTGTCAAAGTCTGGATGCTAATTCCCTCCTCAAACTGGGCAGAGTGGAGCTGGCACCGTGATGGCTCTCAGAAGGCTCCGAGATGGGAGGAGAGGCCAGGAGCTGCTTCCCAGGCTCTTACCTTTTTCTATGGCCCAGGTGAGGGGGCGGGGAGACTGGCCTCATGTGAAGGTCACGGTCGCGGTGTGCCAGAACAGTCTTGTGCACTGCATGAAGCAGGCGCAGGCTGGACGTGTGAAGATGGAGCTGCTGAAGGTGGCACATCACCAGGTGGCCAAGGCTGTCCCTGAAGAGTCCCAAATGGTGGTCCTTCCTCTTGCCACAGTTGGGTATGTCTACGTGGCCATTAGGACTAGAAAAGCAAGGTATGAAATGAACTGCTTTTCCTACGAAACACTGGCTGTTTGGGGATTAACCCAGCTGAAGGTGGGGTACAGACAACTCCCTCTCAGTAGCTACTGAAATGTCTAACACTCCACAGATCAGCTGGTAGGAAAGACTGGCTGAAAAAGTCTTACTGCAGAGTCCTCAGAAATGCACTTTTAGGGGTTGAGCTGGGGCAGGTTAGAATGCCACATCATCCACGTGAGAAAAGTATGGCTAGGACCCAAGCAATGTCCACTCCCCTAGTTGAGAAGGCTACGTAGTGAGCTCATAATCCCACAGTATAATACAATAAAGCCACTGCCTGGCCAAGTACTAGTACCATAAATATATTCAAGTCAGCCTGGGCACATCTAATAGGCCAGTGACTTACTTTTTGCCTTCCCAGCCAGGGATGAGTGAACAGGCATCTCGGAGGACTAATTTCGTGAAAACCTAAGCCTGATGGCAGGTGAACTCAGGGAGAATGCAATGTCATCGCAGATGGGGGCCTTCAGGCTGCACTTAATGCTGCTGAACACACAGTTCCTGGAGCCATGGCTGAGATGAATGAGATTCTTCATCTGGCTGCAGGCCTTGGCCCTGGCTCAACTGTAGGCACATACCAAGTACTGGTAGTTCTCATGCATTCACTAAAAATCAACCAACCAACCCAGCTTAGAAACGTGCTTCTCAGAGATTCAAGGCAAGGGGGTAGTAGTTAAGACCTGGCACATTACATGGATAGGGGTGAAGGCAGACATCTGTAGCAGTGAACATGGTTTTTTCAGGTTTACTCTGGAATCTGAGGGTGTCAGCCGCGTGAAGCTGCAGATGAACTTCTGAGGGCATGGGACACAGGCAATCCCAAGAAACCTCTTGAAATACTATTTCACATGCAGTTTAATAGGGGAGAAAGTCTGAGTTGCTGATCAGTTAACAGGAGATGCTGGCCCACAAAGGTGGCCTTTATTAGATGAAGGCTGAATTTAGATTACTTGGACTTTGAAGCTGCTGGAAGCTTCCAAGTCTGTGTTGCAACCCAGAGCCCACTGAGTTCTACCATGATATAGAATATCCTCTTCTGTAACGTGGGGGTGAGGTGCTGCATTCTGAGGGGTCAGCAGGTTGCTCAACTTGATGGACAGCACTTCCACAGACCAGGAACTTGCCACTTCACTTTCCAGAATAATTTGCTTGGCCTCCCATCTTCATTGCATGGTGTGTTCCAGCTGGCAGTGGTGCAGACTCCTCCACTCCTTGTGGTAGGGAAAGGGAGAGGGCCCCAGGGGGTGTGTGGGTGTGTGTGTGTGTGTGCGTGTGTGTGTGTGTGTGATGGAGCACAGATGTTATTTATCTGTGTGATTTCTACTGAAAGCACTGAAGGATTAAAGACGGTGAAGGTGGCGGGGCGTGGTGGCTCACACCTGTAATCCCAGCACTTTGGGAGGCCGAGGTGGGCGGATCACAAGGCCAGAAGTTTGAGACCAGCCTGGCCCACATAGTGAAACCCCATCTCTACTAAAAATACAAAAAATTAGTTGGGCATGGTGGTGGGTGCCTGTAATCCCAGCTACTTGGGAAGCTGAGGCGGAGAATCACTTGAACCCAGGAGGTGGAGGTTACAGTGAGCCGAGATCACACCACTGCATTCCAGCCTGGGTGACAGTGTAACTCTGTCTCAAAAAAAAAAAAAAAAAAAAGATGGTAAAGGAACCCTACCTGCAGGACTACTGTACCACTCAAACTTTTGAACATGGACATGGCCCTTGCCAGAGAATGTCAATGGAGCTAGTGACCTCTTCTTGACTCACGGAATTACTCAACATTTTTCTCACCACTGTCAGTACGAGTCTTTAAATAGTGGAAGGCCCGGATGGAGGAGAGGAAATGACCACTTCCAAATGCAAAAGCAGAAATTCGAAGCTGTCTGCTTTCCTATGAATATAGAATTAATACCTCCAGAAATCTAGAAAAAGCAGGGGAAGGACCAGGATGCAGCAGTTTATCCTGGGAGCAGGAAATGTACTCTAATGCAGTGGACACAGTGGACTGTCCAGCCGGGGGAAGAGTGGGTCAGAGCATTCTGAAAACTGGCCTTGGGGCTTTCACCTCTTGTATCAATTGCACATAGAGAAATGGGAAATGACAGAGGGAGGTGATTGGGAAAACTACAACTTAAGCGGGTGGGATCATTGCACCTGAAGCTGAGCAAGTCCCTGACTGATGTGTAGAGTCACTAAGTACAGAAGAATTGGAGGGTGAAGGCGGCATAGGCAAAGCCCCTCTTTCAGGTACCATCCCAGGGTCAGTGAAGCTGAAGCCCAGAGGAAATGCGTAACTCAAGAATTTTGATCAAGTTGTGCCTTCTAGACAGAGATACCAAGTTCTGAAGGCTGGATTTGGGTGTGATATTCAAAATCATGGACTGTGACTGAGACCAGATCACCACGCTCCCCATGTGGGGCAGTGATAGGTGGCACCATGAAGACAGTTAGGAGTTGCTAAGTCAGAGAGGGTCATTTGGGGCAAATGAATCATCTCACAGGGATTCTACAGGGATTAAGCCAGCAGACACACAGATCAGAGAGATGTGGCAATGGATGGTTTGAAGCAGAAGGTGGGAAGCATAATTTAAATAATTGGTGGTGGTGCATGGTGACTGTACTTTCTTTACACTGGGCGTCGGTGGTGTGGGTGAGGAGAGGACTAAGGGTTCCGTTAAAGGTGGCAACTCTCTTATGGAAGAGAATCTAGTCGAGTGAAATGCTTGTAGGCCATTTTACCTTTTTGTTCCTTTGCTTTTCAACTTTAATTTTTACAATTCCACAGTTTCTCTAATAGTCAAAATGTAATTTGATAAACCAATTTTAATGCTGTTAATGAAGCTCCATTTTGGTTCTGATACTTGGTAATTCAGACAAATCAAACAGTACTGCTATTTGAAGCAGTATTAAAGAATGAGGAGTTTGCCATTCTTCTTCTTCTTTTTTTTTTTTTTTTTTTTTGAGATGGAGTCTCACTCTATCACCCAGGCTGGAGTGCAGTGGTGTGCTCTCAGCTCACTGTAACCTCCACCTCCCGGGTTCACGCCATTCTCCTGCCTCAGCCTCCCTAGCAGCTGTTGGGACTACAGGCACCGCCACCACACCCGGCTAATTTTTAATATTTTTAGTAGAGAAGAGGTTTCACCATGTTAGCCAGGATGGTCTCGATCTCTTGAACTCGAGATCTGCCCACCTCGGCCTCCCAAAGTGCTGGGATTACAGGTGTGAGCCACCACACCTGGCTGAGTATTTGCCATTCTTAAGTGCCCAAACCCCATGACACTGTGAAAGTTGACCCTCAGTAAATAAAGTGACAATCTTGATGTAAGTTTTCATAGTTATCCTCTAGAATGGATTATCTTACATTCAATAATTAACCTACTCAGTCTCAAAGGTCTTCCAGACAAACTGCACTCATGTCACTTTTCTCCAGTATGATGTCTCTGATGCTGAATGAGGTTTGCGGTCTGGTTAAACGCTTTCCCACATCTGTTGCATTTGTAGGGTTTCTCTCCTGTGTGAATCCTCTGATGTTGAGTAAGGTGGGTGCTTCGGATAAAGGCTTTCCCACAGATTTTACATGTGTAAGGTTTTTCTCTGGTATGAATTCTCTTGTGTTGGGTGAGGGCTGAATGGTCACTGAAGGCTTTTTCGCAGATGTTGCACGTGTAAGGCTTCTCCCCGGTGTGAATCCTCTGATGCTGGGCTAGTGCCGATTGATCCCTGAAGGCTTTCTCACACAAGCCGCATCTGTACGGTTTCTCTCCAGTGTGGATTTTCCGATGTCGTGCAAAGGACGAATTATCCCTGAACGCTTTCCCACATTCGTTACATTTGTAAGGTTTCTCTCCAGTATGAATTCTCTGATGTTCAGTAAGGGAAGAGTTCACCCTGAAGGCCTTCCCACATTCATTACATTCAAAGGGTTTCTCTCCAGTGTGGATTCTCTGATGCTGAAGAAAACTTGTGCTCTGATTAAAGGCTTTTCCACATTCACTGCATTTATAGGGTTTCTCTCCACTATGGATATTCTGGTGTTTGGTAAGATGTGCCCTGCACACAAAGGCTTTTTCACAAATGTTACATTTAAAAGGTTTCTCTCCAGTGTGTATTCTATGATGATGGGCAAGGTGTATATTTCGGATAAAAGCTTTTCCACATAAGTTGCATTCAAAAGGCTTCTCTCCGGTATGAATTTTCTGATGGTACGTAAGCGAGGAGCTCACTGAGAAGGCCTTGCCACATTCCTTACATTCGTAGGGTTTCTCGCCGGTGTGAATTCTTTGGTGATGGATAAGGTGCGTACTCTGGTGAAAGGCTTTCCCACATTCTCTACATTCATATCTTTTCTCTTTCACATGAATTTTCTGATTTGGGTTTTTTCCAGTATGAATTTTCTGATGTTTATTAAGAGTTGAACTCTTAGAGAAGACTTTCCCACACTCACTACACTCAAAGGCATTTTTGCGAGGCTGGAATCCCTGACTTTGAGCACTGTGAGGAGATGAGCTCATAGTGCTGCCAGATTCATCCCATTCCTGTCCACCAATCCCAGACGGGGTGCTGGGGTGAGTGAGCACCGCTCGCTGCAAACTCATCTCCTGGCCTCCACACTGCCACCCCAGCAGGCTAGCACACTTCCAGTGACTGCTGCTGCGGAATCTTTCCTTTATTGTCCATTGGCCCAATTCTTCTTCAGGAATCGCCACCCTGAGAGTAGATTTCTTACTGGCAGGCAGAGTCATCCAGTCTGAAACACATCAAAAATAAAAATGTCCGTTTTACCCTAGTAAAGCATTTGGATGGGGTGAGATGATGAGCCTGTTCATAATGCTAACAGGCAGGTTTCGAGTTTGAAGATTTTCTGAAGTAACAACAAGAAAGGACAGAAAAGAGGGGTGAACAGGGGACTATGGCAGGGGTTGACCTCATGTATAATGTATGAGGCAGGAGAGCTTGGAAGCATGATCTTAGAAGTCACAGGCCTGGCTTAGAATTGAGTACAACACAAATTTTCTTTGTGATAATAGGGAAGTTATCTGATTTTCTAAGCCTAAAACAAAAACAAAAACAAAAAATGGATAAAGACCACATGATGCTAACAGACAAGAAGAAAAGTGCCCTGTCCATTCAAATGAGATGGTTTTTAAAACAACACAGATGTGGCCTTAAGAAACCACTGAAAATAGCAGTGAACACTTGGTAGGAAAAAACCTTGACTCTAGAGTAAACTAAAATCAACATATAGGCTCATTTGAGCATTCAGATGAATAATAAAAAGCCAGGCTGCTGTACAGGCTGTGTGAAATGCTCATATCTACTAAAATAATAAGGACCTCCTATTGCTTGTGAGGAAGCAATGTCTCCAAACCCGGATGAATAACGTGACACCAGGGGAGGAAACTGTGCCATGAGACATTTTGTGGCAAAGTTACCTCAGGATAAATGCTGCAGCCGTAAGCACTGCTGGCAAGTATTCTCAGGGCAAACAGGAGAGGAGCTAAAATGTAATACTAAGGACTAGATTCTAAACACAGATGATGTAAAATTCATGAGAAATCCTATCAAGAACAAGCCATCCTTATTACCTCCTTTTCCTACTCACTCCAGAAAATCTTCTACAAAAAGGCACTCCTGGTATCTTTTTAGAATCAAAGAAACAAACTTCTTTACTTATTAGGAAAAGAAAGGTAAACAGGCATATTTCAAGACTAAAATCCTATTGAGCTCAGAATAATATATCCCTGTTCAAAACAAAGAACGGTCAAAGTTAAACATCAGTATTGCCAAATGTCAAAATGTTGAGGACTGACTTTCACTTCCGGCCCAAAGAGAGTAGCCCATGGCAGACCAACATTTCTGCAGAAACAACTAGAAAATCTGAACTGAAAAAAGTTATCTGTCTGAAGGCATGAGATGTCACCCAGGCCGACTTTATAGTCTAATATTTGGGAGAGAATGAAAATATAGAGAGGGGATCCCAATACTCAGTGGCTTGTTACTCAAACATTTTATTGAATTCTTAAGGTTTACAGGGCAAAAGATTAAAGTTAAGCAGAAATCCAGAATTTTCCAGTCTTTCGGTACAACAGAACCAGGACCTTCCAAGGAGAGGTCATGATAAACGTGTGAAGCTCTCAGCTGGGACTCCTGCCGGGCTACAAAACTAGCAGCACGGGCAAACGAGCAGTTGACAAAGCTTTACAAATACTGTGACCAACCTCCAGCTATTCAGCCCTTGGCTGGAGGAGGATGGTTTGCTTGCACTCTAGCTGCTCCTAGGGAAGGTAAATCTTCTCTGGAAGAACAACATCTAGAGCCTCTGCTCTCCCTCACACATGGTGTCAGGGACGCAATAAAAAAAGGCCGGCTGTGCTAAGAAATTGAATGAAGAGGGAAAAACAGACAATAGAAAAAGAACCTCAGAACACAGACACCAGAGTTATCAGATGAGAACCTTAAAACAACCGCGATTAACGTGTTCAAGGAAACGAGAATGAGAATTACAACAAAGAACTGGAACAGAATAATCAAATGGAAATTCTAGAACTGAGAAATACAGTAACTGAAATGATGAATTCAGTATCTTTAACAAGATATCAAACACAGCAGAAGAGAGGAACAGTGAGCTACAAAAATACATAAGCAGAAAATATCCATAGTAACACACGGCTAAAAAGACAAACACTATTTAAAAAGAAAAAGGGTGAAAAATGAACTCTGAGAAAGGTTATAAACTCTAAGGGTAACTACAAAGAAAATCCACCTAGGCACTACTGAAAGCCAAAGATTAACTTGAAAGTTGCTTGGAAAAAAAAATGATACATTACCTTTGAAAAAGCAAAATTAAGACTGGCAGTGTCTTAATGAAAACAATGAAGCCCAGAAGACAATGAAGTAACATCTGAAGTGTTGAAAGAACCGAACTGTCAAGCTACAATTCAACACACAGAGAAAATATCTCTAAAAATTAAACATGAAGTAGATATTTCCATACAAACAAAAACAGAGATGGTGTCACCAGCAGATCTACATTAAAAGAAACACAGATGTGGTCCAGGTAGAACAAAAATAATTCCAGGTGGAAATATGAAAATGTAAGAAGGTATGAAAAGCAATGGAAAGGTTAAATATGTGGATAAATAAAAATACAATTGATTACATGAGACAATAATTATAATGTCTTAATGGATTGCAAATATATGTGGAATTAAAATGCATAGCAAAAATAAAGGTAGAAGGAAGAAAATGCTGTTAATTTTTTTTTTTTTTTGAGACCGAGTCTCGCTCTGTTGCCCAGGCTGCAGTGCAGTGGTGATCTTGGCTGACTGCAACCTCTGCCTCCTGGATTCAAGTGATTCTCCTGCCTCAACCTCCTGAGTAGCTGGGACTACAGGTGCACGCTGCCATGCCCAGCTAATTTTTTTTTGTATTTTAGTAGAGACAGGGGTTCACTGTGTTGCCCAGGCTGGTTGTGAACTCCTGAGCTCATGCAATCTGCCTGCCTTGACCTCCCAAAGTGCTGGGATTACAGGCATGAGCCACTGTGCCTGGCCAAAAATGCTGTTAGTTTTTAAGATTGTACCACTGTCTGGGAATTATTAAAAGTAAAAAATTTATTTTGGACAGTAATAAGCTTGTTTTATTTATTAGCATTAACAATAAAAGACTAAGTAAAGAAGGTTAATTAACAAGCTAATACAGAGTAAAAATGGCACAATAAAAATATTTAATCCAATAGAAGGAAGGAAAAAAGGACAAGGGATTTAAAGCAAGTAAGTGAAATATAAAATAA